AGTCTCATCCCTATTCTAATTTCATCCCTCACTCTATACCCCAAAGCAAACTGGGCCATATAAGCGAGGTTTTGTTTCATTAATAATGCTTTCAGTGTATGTCACCCAATGAGGGGTGTTTACATGGGCTCCAGATATTTTTTAGGCCCTGTTTGTCGTTTGTTTTTAGAGGTAAAATGGAAGAGATTGATAGTGAGAGAATTAATATTGAAGGGATTAATAGTAAGAGGATTAAGTAAAATTATATTTGTTTTGATGATAGTTGTTAGTGTGAGAATTGTTAAATTATTACCGTATAAAAGAAATATAAAATATTAAAACAAATAAAACTATGATTTTTACTTAACAAAAAATACAAAAACATTAAACATTAAATATTAATGTTAAAAAATAAAAAAATAAAAAAACCTAAGCCAAAGCTAATTTCCTAGGATGTAGGGATGTTGTTGCACGGGCTGCACAACAGAGGTTGCTGTGCGGTAAATTGAGCCCATTGTTGGACCTATTTTGATAATCCGATCTATTTATATTTTAGACTAAATCAAGTAGAACATGTTTATAAAAAATCAAGTTAATCAGATATCATTTATCTATTCATCCACTTACATTTGTATTCATTTTAATACCTTAAATCACAATTATTATTTAGTTTTGTAGATGCAAATGTGAATGGATGAATGGAGAAACGATATCCAATTAACTTGATTTTTTGTAGGCATGTTCTACTTGATCTATTCTAAAATGTGAACGATTTGGATTATCAAGATGAGCGTATTTTACCGCACAGCAACCGCTGCTGCGCAGCCTGCGCAGAATCATCCCCACATCCAATTTCCTAATATCACTTCCATCTCTTTCATATCAATCCCAATACCAAAACTCATCTTAATTTTATGGGATAATGAATCCCATTTTTACCTCATAAAACAAACACAATCTATAACGAGTCCCACTTTTATCTCAATTCCATTCCTACCTCTGTCTCTCAGAACAAATGAGGCCTTAGTACCTTCTTTTTTTGGCCGTATCTAACCGTTAATCCAAAAGCTACAATTAATTATAATTTTTATTGTTAATGTAAATTGTAAATGTAAATTGTGAACCACCTACTACCACCTACTTCACCTACCACCTCCACTTCACCTACTCCACCTACCACCTCCACTACACCACTCCATCTTCACTTCACATCTCCTATATAATGTACATACAATACACAATCAAAATAAATCAATAATATCATTCATCAATACATATTTCATTCTCTCTATTTTTTCCATACATCAAATTTAACATGGTATCAGAGCAGGTTTAGAACTTAGTATTTTCGCTTCACCGGCGGGCGGCAACCTCACCTTAGCCGTCCGCCGGACCTCAACCTATTCCGTTTATTTTTTTACATATACCTTGACTCCGCTGCCACTAAACCCAATTCAACATTCACCTTCAAGATCAGAGCATCGACACCATCACCCAGCCACGTGTACGCTTCATGTGCAGCTTCGGCGGCAAGATCCTTCCCCGGCCCCACGACAACCAACTCCGCTATGTCGGCGGCGGCACCCGCATTGTCGCCGTGAACAGCCACACCACCTTCTCATCTCTCCAAACCGTCACTGCTGATGACCACGGCTTGACCCGCCTCAAAACCATCCCAGACTACCTCGACTTAGAGCTCAAGCAACAATCTGTGCTCAGTATCAGATTGCAGTTACTCTCCTTCAGGAAATCGGGAGACTGCAGAAAGTCCAAGGCCCTAGTGCCATCAACGCAAAAGATAAGATGGCGAGGCTGTCACGCCATCTGGGTTCATTGCCTCTTCTGGCCAAACACCGTACATGGCGTCACCAAGTTCTTCGATCTCACTCCGGCGAAGTTCCGCCGCAATTATCTCGGCCTCCCGCAGCGCCGGCTCAAGCTCCTCCCACCTCTCTCTCTCTCCTATCACACACAGCTACACGCATGCATGAGCTCTCTCTCTCTCGATGCACTGACTCTCTCTCTTTTCTCTCAACACCTCTCTCTCACTCAGATCAGAAACACACACAGTTTGGGTGAGGGAGAAGGATACCCACACACCCAGACACCTTGCATAACAAACTCTAACACACACACAACACCACACACACAGCACGGGCAGACCATACACACAGACAGCAGCACACACACACATGGGGGGATGAGGTTCTAAGCTTAAAAAAAAAAAAAAAAAAAAAACAAACAAACAAACAAACAAACCAAGACCCAGATCAGAATCGATTTTCTCTTTCTCCCTTTAAACCCTCTCTTTTCCTTTCTTTTTCTTTTCATATTTACCTCCACTACCTTTTGTCTTTCAAATACAACCACCACCTTACACCACACCACTTTTTTTTTTATTCGTTTTATTCTTATTATCATCCTCCTCATCATGTACCCCACTTTCTCTCTCTCATTTTTTCACTTTCCAATCCCCCGAGGCACATGCTTTCGCCATTAATCTATTATTATTATTATTATTATTAAAAAAAAACACAAAAAAAAACAATATATATATATATACACAAAAACAAATACCAAACCCATTGCAGGTTTTCACACAACCGTGGGCCACGAAACCCTTTTTCATTATTATTTCTTTGCACAAAAAAAAAAAAAAAACAAACAAACAAACAAACAGCAGAAGAAGAAGACGAACTGCTCACCAAACTCATTTTATTCATTATATTCATGTCGGGGCTCACCCCGATCACCATTTTACACCAAAAAAAAAAAAACAACAAAAACAAAAAAAAACAACCACAATTGCATATGTCATGCATCATTGTATTTATTGCATATGTCATGCATCATTGTATATATTGCATTGTCATGTATCGTTGTATATATTGCGTATGTAATGCATCGTTGTATATATTGCGTATGTCATGCATCATTGTATATAGTGCATATTGCATGCATTCACTGTAAATATGGCATTTACATGCACTGTAAATATTACATTTACATCCATTGCATATTGTATATATTGCATTGTAGCTTGCATGCATTCATTGCATCACCTCCGTTCACGGCTTGCACCTTTCCATGTTGAGCTTGGTTTGGTATGTGCCCATATTTTTTACGTCGAAGCATAGTTATGATATTATGTGTACGCGCCTATTCCACTGCTGGTATTGTGGTTTGAGGGTGACGGCACCGTTTCTGTGTTAGACGCGGTTTGTATGTGTCCATGTCTTCCCTAGGCAAGGCACGGTTCGGCCGCAAGCCTTATCCATTGTAAATATCCATTACATGCATATCGTATATATCGTATCGTAGTTTACATGCATTTTGTATATATCGCATCGTAGTTTACATGCATATTGTATATATCGCATCGTAGTTTACATACATATTGTATATATTGCATCGTAGTTTGCATGCATTTGCTGCATCATCCATCAATGGCTTGCGCCTTTCCATGTTGAGCTTGGTCTGGTATGTGCCCATACTTCTCGTGTTGAAGCACAGTTATGATATTATGTGTACGCACCTAGGGTTGTGGGTGACGGCACCGTTTCTGTGTTAAACATGGTTTGTATATGTCCATGCTTTTCCTAGGCAAGATATGTTTTAGTTGCGCGCCATATCCACTGTATATACTGCATTGTAGTGTAGTTCGATTGCATCCAGCATTTAGGATCATGAGCTTTTCTGAGCAGAGCATGCCTCACTTATGTCATTCCACCACCCAATTACTTGTCCTTGTGTTCCGTCTACATCACTCATAGTTCTGCATGTGTACGCGCCTATTCCACTGCTGGTATTGTGGTTTGAGGGTGACGGCACCGTTTCTGTGTTAGACGCGGTTTGTATGTGTCCATGTCTTCCCTAGGCAAGGCACGGTTCGGCCGCAAGCCTTATCCATTGTAAATATCCATTACATGCATATCGTATATATCGTATCGTAGTTTACATGCATTTTGTATATATCGCATCGTAGTTTACATGCATATTGTATATATCGCATCGTAGTTTACATACTACATCGGTCAGACATGACCTCGTAAACTGTCCTACTACATCGGTCCGACATGACCTCGTAAACTGTCTTCTACAACGGTCCGACATGACCTCGTAAACTGTCCTGCTACAACGGTCCGACATGACCCCGTAAACTGTCTGCTATAACGGTCCGACACGACCATACCGTGTCTTCTACAACGGTCTGACACGACCATACAGTGTCTCCTATCCCATTTTTAATTTTATTTGTCAGCTTATTTTTCTGTTTTGTTACTCTCTCCAAACTCAAGTTGGCTAGTACCTATCCTCCTTGAGTTTGAGGGGGGCTGTTAATGTAAATTGTAAATGTAAATTGTGAACCACCTACTACCACCTACTCCACCTACCACCTCCACTTCACCTACTCCACCTACCACCTCCACTACACCACTCCACCTTCACTTCACATCTCCTATATAATGTACATACAATACACAATCAAAATACATCAATCAATAATACATCAATATTAACATTTATATTAATTGCTGAATGAAAAAAAAAAAAAACTGAGAGAATTTGTTCAGTTTTCAAATACACCCCTCAAATTTCTTTTCTTGGCCCATTCATGTGAGAGCCCACAATTAATGTGTGAGAGAAGTGGCTCCTAATTTTGAGTTATCTCACGATCATTTTTTATCAATGGATTCCGAATTTCAGACCATATGAGATATTTAGTTAAAATTTTAATAAATTTTTTAATATTATTCTTTATTTACAGTACATATAATACACTCTATATTGAATTTTGAGTTGTCTCGTGCTTCATTTTTTTACAGTATAATTCATAGTGATATTGTTAGGCTTGTAAAATAAATTGAGTCATTTATTATACTTTCCATAAAAGAAATCAAATTTAAACTTGATTAAAACTGGACTAAAATTCAATTCTAAAGATGAATAAATTAAAATTAAATACATTTTAAAACTCCACGTAAGTTTCTTTTATCCCACATTTCAGAACAATTACTAGATTAATACAACACAAATGCATTCTTAATTATCACACATGATGGCCCGGATTAATACAAAATATTTTTCCAAAATAGAAAATATATTACCAAATAATATGCATCAATATAGGTCCACAATAACATCCCAAGCAACTTAATTACATGCCATCTTTAAACATAAATTGTAGCCATACTGATGAAAGCAAAAGCAAAATCAAAATCAAACTGTCATGGTTTTGAAAACACAAACCAAAAACTTGTCAAGCTTTGGTACACACCTCTCCATCACAAACCCATCCTTCTTCGCCTTTCTTTCCCTCCCCAACCTCTTCGGTATCGCCTTTGGTTCCCTTTGCTTCCTCCAATGCACACTTTGGATGCAGATCAAAATCACACTTCCTACAATAGAAAGACCATACCTGCCCTTGTTCTTCACACCCATCACAAAAATACCGCTCGCGTCGGTTGTTTGTCTTTTTGGGTTAACTTTTTAACTTTTTATGAAAAAATATGTAATAAAAAATTGTAAAAATTAATTTGTAGGAGAAAATTAGAATTGGAAGTTGTGTGAAGGGATAAGCATCGGCCCCATGGTACATAACAAGTTCTTGGGCTTCAGTTGTGACAGTCCGGCCTTTTGGATCGAGCGCAACGAGCATAGGGATGCCACGGACCTTAAACGTGCGTGACAAAGATTCTTTCCTCTCATCTCCGAAGGGAAGTGCTAGCCATGGCATTGTGGAAAAGAAATCTTCGAATGAGGCCTGATCTTTGTCGCTGGAGATGAAAATTACTTCGAATGCATCATCTTTTGCCTTAATCTGCTGATACGCTTCAACAAGCTTTGGTAGAAAAGCACGGCATGGTGGACACCAATGAGCTGAAAAGTAAATGAGGATAGTTTTCCCAACAAGATCAGAAACCGGTACCTGAAAAAAAGAGTTAATTGTGAGTGATCACCGATATGGGTAAAAGAGATATGGGCATGGTTTTAAATAATGGTATTCGGATATGAGTATGAGTGATAATGTCATATATCGGACAGTATCGGCTGATACACCAGTGAATGGGTATCAAAAGTTTAAAATCCCATTATGTAATGACTGATACAATGTATAACGGCCAATATTTAAAACTTTGGATGGGGGAATAGGAAAGGGGAATGGGGATTAAAGCAAGATTGCAATGGCGAGGCTCGTGCACTGAGCCGCCCTATTTATAAATGTATAAACTACCAATGAAGACAAAACTTACTTTGAGTCCATCTTTTCCAATTACAAAATCGAGATCTTTTGACACCAAAATCGACTCCAATGTTTGCGCCTCCCGTTTCGCCTTCTCTATCTCCTCGAGCTCAGCAAACTTTTCTGGTGTAAAAGGGTATGCCAGAGTACCATGTTCTTCAACGGTCTCAACAACATCAGCACGAAGAGTCTTCCCATCTGGGCCAATAATAACCAATGAGGGTAAACTTGAAAGCTCAAAGTACCGAGCCAGCTTCACACAGCTCTTGTCTTTCAAGGGTAGTGAAAACCAAGGCATCTTTTCAAACGCTTGCTTGAAGGATTCTTCATCATCATCAAGGGGTAACATCACAACCTCAAATTTCTCTCCCTTCAACTTTAACTCCTCGTAAACTTCAATGAGTTTCGGAGTAAATGTAAGGCATTTCTTGTATGAAGACACTGAGAAATACAAGCCTACGGTCTTTCCTTCAAGCTCAGAGACAGATACCTATTTCATAACAGTATGCAAAGGATATCTAATCAACTTACAACAAAAATGAAAGAACTAAATTAATTGTGATTGTTTGAACATTTGATCTCTGCAATTGAAACTCACCTCTTTCCCATCAGCTGAGATCACAAAATCACGTTCTCGGGAGACTAAGATGGACTTTAAGGATTGCTCCCTCCGAGCTGCTTCTTCCTGGTCCTTAAGTTCTTTGACCCTCTCGGAGGAAAAAGGATACGCATCAACTCCATATTCGCGAATGATCTCAACTCCCTCATCAGTCGATACCTTCCCACTTTCATCGATGATCACAAGGTAAGGTATCCCCATCACCTTAAATAATTCATCCAAGTGGTCACGCGTCTTTGAATCAGAAAACGGGATGGCAAGCCACGGCATCTTGGAGAAATACCCCTTAAATGCCTCCTCATCTTCATCCGCCGAGACAAATACAATCTCAAAATCGCCTTTTGAGGACACTTCCTTGTAAACCTCCACTAGATTAGGCGTGAACTGCTGGCACGGGCCACACCATGATGCTGAAAAATATAAACCCACCTTTTTCCCTTTCAAACTGTCAAATTTGACCTACAAAATTCAGAATCTATCCATTACTTCCTTGTGGAACATCCCAAATTTCAGTATAAGTACTCTGATATAAACGTTCGGAGGATACAACTTTCTCCAAATATTCAAGATTCATTCACAAGAGTAAACATTGGATTTCATGGCTCGATTTAGGGGTTGTTTGGGGGTCCTAAAAAAGGGCATTTTTTTTCTTTTTAGACTAAAAAATTGAGAAAGAAAATATAGATATTTGGTTAATTTTTTGACTTTTATGGAAAAATGTGTAATAAAAAATTGTAAAAATTAATTTGTAGGAGAAAATTAGAATTGGAAGTTGTGCAGCCGTAATTGTTGATGTTGATTTTTGGTGAATAGTATTAACTTTTTAACTTTTTGACTTTTTCTAGACATGTCAAACTTGACCTTAATGCGCATCGAAGCAGATTTCTCTACTGAGTCCATTAAATTCCAACATCTAGATCAACAATTGGTAAATTGATGGATGGACGTGTGAATATTTAACTCAATTTCCATTTGCCCAAATCACCAAACACATCTAACTTAAAAGTTATTATAGCCATCTGAAATTAACCAAAAAATAGATCAACTTATGTCTAATTTTCCTGATTTCAGTAAACATATTCCTCTAATTTTTCATACCACAACAACAATACATTACTAAATAAAAAGTTATTAAAAAAAATTAAAAAAACCTATAACATATACGAAAAAATCAAAAATTTCTTTTTTTTCTTACTTTTTGTAATTTTTTTCCGTAAAAACATATTAAATTTTTTAACCCCATATTTCAACTAAAAAATCAAAAAATTTACTAAAATAATTTGTTCCAACAAGCTTAGATAGCCAAATCTCATTGATAAACAATCCCGTAATAATAATAATAATAACCTTCTTGGCAGACCCTAATATCCTGCTGTGACACAGAAACCCATAACTTATTAAGCATAAGCTGCTCCTCCAATTCCAAACTAGCACAACTAGTAGCAGCAAAATATACATATGTGTTATATACAAACACATATATTGGAGATGGAAGTTAAAAACAAAAAGGGTCCTTTTACAATACGGATTCAAGTAGCTCCCTTCTTTTTTATGATTGAAAATAAAGAGCAAATCCAAGTAATATTGCAATTAAGAGTAAGTATATATATATAACTGGCTGTATACACAAAAACCAGAGAGAGAGAGAGAGAGTTAAACCTGATCGCCATTGTTGCGAATAAGGAAGTCCCTCTCGGAAGAAGAGAGAATAGAGTGAAGATCGTGAGTTTGATCTTCTTTGGTTTGCTCAGAAGCAACACCATCGTCACGACGATTCTCCATTTTCTCTCACTCTAAAACAACAATCCCCCAAACTGTATTTTTGATGAAACAAAGCACTAAATTCAAAAGTGGCAGAGATTCATGCCAATACATATGTATTTATATAGACTCGGAAAAGCGGATATGATTTTTCCCACATTTTTTCTACTGTAAATAAATTATGAATATATTCTTAAATTTTACTTAAAATAGGAATTAATATTTTTTGATTAAAATTTTTTATTTAACAAAATCAATCAAAAAAATAAATTTTATATTAAAAAAATTATCTAAATTAAAAATTAAAAATTATTAATTAAATTAAAAATTTATTAATAAAGGGATCATTTATTATAAATTAAAAAAATATATAATTTCTAAAATTATAAAAAATAATTTATATTTTAAGTAAATTTAAAACATACATTTGTAATTTAAACTTTGTTTAAAGTGTACCATATAAAATATAAATACATTTTTGTTTTTTTATTGGGCAAATTACATATACACCCCTCGAGGTTTGGTTAAATTACAGATACCCTGAGGTTTCGGAAATTACATCCCGCCCCCTGAGGTTTGTATTTTCATAACAATTTACCCCCTGAGGTTTATATTTCATAACAAATTACCCCCTAATTTCTTATGCAAATATAGCATTCAGGGGAAATTCGTAATTTCTCAAACCTCAGGGATATCTGTAATTTAGTCAAACCTCGAGGGGTGTATATGTAATTTGCCCTTTTTTATTCTATTTCGATTTTCTCTTTTGTCTACGGTTCTAGAATTCTCTTTGCTTCTTATCTTTTTTCGAACGTCATTTCTTCTTACCTTGATGACTAAGAAATGCATCGGAGTCAACATAGAAATGACGTGGGAAGCATCAATTGGATTCGTTGTTGTTTTTGATAAGACCTGTCATTGGTGAAATTTGGACCGTCCACGTATTGACGTCAACGGTCCTTATGCAATTGTGTTTTACCCAATGTCTGCCGTTGCAGAATCAGATAATTAATAATGTGATGTAATTTTAAAAAAATTTAATACTTATAATATAATTAATGAGTGAAATTAATAATAATATTACAATTAATATTGATACATTAATTAATATATTAATTATTATAGGAAAATTTACCAATAAATCCTATTTGACAAACTCTTAAACCAATTAGTCCCAACTTTATTCTTTTGTTCAGGTAAGTCCTATTAGTGGGGAAGTTTGTTACTTGTTGATCCTATTTTCCATATTTGGTGTAACTGTGTGGACAGTTTTACCCATTATTGTTATGTTTCCATATTCTGTTGGGGATCACGTGGGACTGCAGATTTTGTGGGTATAACAGTTGATATTTCAATGTTACCTGTTGAGACGTTTCAGCCTATGCGACTTTAGGGTTGTTAGTGGTGTGGGTCAGTGATTTACGGTGGCTGTGTGACGGACTGATTGAGAAAGTTTAACGGAAGTCGGTTCTCCGTTGGTTGGAAGGTATGTCTTCTTATTTGTATAGCATTTGCAGTTTTGTATGTAACAAAAATGCCTTCGACCCTCACTATCCCTATTATTTTTTGATTGGTTCAAAAAAAAATTTTTTTTTTTGTCTTACTCTCATAGACTCCACGTGAGGTGGGGCGCTGGGCCACCTCCACTGGAGTCCCAGCACTGTTGTTCTAAGAATATTTAATAATTTTTCCAAAATCGCTTGCTTTATCAGCCTCGTTTAATTTGTGATCATTTGGCCAAAAAATAAAATAAAATTAAAAGTTGAAATATCATGCCATATATATTAATTAATTATTTTTTAATAATTATATATTTAAATTTTTTATCAAAAGCACTAACTTTTTTTTATCGTTGTAAAAAAATTAAAAAATAAAAAATTATTAAAAAGAACAAAGTTGCCAAACGAAAACTTAAAGCACATTGATATGTTTTGAAAACTATTTTATATTTCTAATAGTAAACAGAATAAACATTTTGTATAAAAAAATTATTTGCAAATTTGTTTTTGAGGAATACTTGTTTTGTTCATTTTTAAAATTATTTTCATAATAATATTAAATAATTAGAAAAAAAAGGATATTTCAAATCCCTATTTTGTTCTTATTTTGAAATACATAAAAAATAAATATGTGAAATTAAATCAATACCAAACCAAAATGTTTATTCTTTTCAATATGATTGAATATTTTATAGGTAAAATTAATAAAATTAAAATTTTAACGTCAAAATGACACAATATATTTTAAAATCCTAAAAAAATGTTTTTATTCAATTTATTAGTATGAAAGCATTTCTAATGACAAATGTTATAATAGTATTATCATTATTATAATTTGGTAATGAATAGTAATAAATTATCAAATTATAGCAATCGTGCTCCAATGATCAGATGTAATTTTGGCAAATCTCAGTCAATTTTTTCTTTAATTTTGTAGATGTTGTTTGAATATAGATTTTTTAGTATTTTTTTATTGTTTTTTTATTTATTTATCTTTTCGGACCTTTTCCAAACTTTTTCTAAAAAAAAAATTACATATTTATATGCGAATATAGATTTGAACACAAAAACTGTACATCCGATCGTTCAGCTGAACGACCGGCCAAAGTCTTTTGGTCGTTCGAGCGATTGTTAAGTGGAGCAGTTTCTGTTTTTGGCTCAGCAAAAATTTAGTTTTGTAAAAATTTATCTGTTTTGCTGAGAGGAAAGAGGGAAACAATTGATTTTGTAAAAAATTATCTACTTTGTTGGAAGGAAGGATAAGAGAAATAGTTAATTTTGACTAAATTGACACATATGATAACCTCTCAAATTTGACATAAGCTCAAAGATTTCAATAAGTCCAATAATAAATTATTAGAGATGCCCTGAAAACGGTTAGAGAAGATTTCTTGTAGACTATCCTTTCATAATGACCAAATAGTTTATTTGCCAAATACCATGGGCGCTGAAATTGGTGCTCTAAAAGGCTAATAGTTTCATGGTCGAAATCGAATGTGTATTTTCTTGTATACTATTTTTTTTATTAAAAAAAAAATTAGAGTTATATTATATGGACATAATTTATAGTTTATTTGGGAAATGGATTGATTTTTTGACTATTTTAGTTTGGGACAAAAAATTTTCGTTTGTGATAGACTTTTTAATTTTTTAACTTTTTGTAAGAAAAATAATATAATGATTATGGGTTAGATATAACATTTTATTTTATTAGGCTAAAAAGCCTATTTTGTTTTTTTGTAACTAAAATAATCTCTAACCCAACCCAACCCAAATTGCCAAACGAAAGCTTATATAAAACTATTTTTTATATAGAATCATATGTTTTATTTTACGATAAATTGCACTAATCTCCTTTGAGATGAAAGAAATACAATGAATTTTTTAATTTTGATATAATTATATTGATTCATCTTTTAATAAGACTAATGAAAATATGCATTTTAGTATAAAAGAAACAATAACATCATTTTCCATCTACCTGATTAATGACTTTCTGATGAAAATGAAACTATGTTTGGAGAATTAAAAACTTAATGGAGTTTAATGTAATTATGACTTCGTTTGGGAAGACTAGTTGGGTTGGGTTTGAGACTATTTTAGCTATAAAAAGACAAAATATATTTTTTAGTCTAATAAGATAAAATATCATATCCAACCCATAGTCATTAGATTCCTTTTCTCACAAAAAGTCAAAAAACTCTTCCCAAATGAGATTTTTTAGCCCAGGATAAAATAGCCAAAAAGCCAACCCACTTCCCAAATGAACCCTATGTTATATTTGTGAAATTTATTTATTTTCCTCAAATTTCAACTAAATATATTTTTTAAGGATAAATTACAATTTGCCTCCTTATGGCTTCGTTTGGGATGTGGGTTGGTTTTTTGATTTTTTTGACTATTTTAATTTAGGACTAAAATAACATCGTTTGTAATAGACTTTTTGACTTTTTAACTTTTGTGAAAGAAAAAATAAAATGATTATGGTTTGGATGCAATAACTTTTAGCCTGGGGCTAAAAAACTTATTTTATCTTTTTGTAACTAAAATAATCCCAACTCATGCCAAACCTACATGCCAAATGTCATGTATGTTTAGTCATTTTTTTACTTTTGCCGTTAAAGTTTTATTTTACTCACTTTGACCTTTAATGTTTCAATTTTTATTTTTTTTTAATTTACCCCTAAGCTGACTTTTGTTCAAAGTTAGATAAAAAATGTCATATTAGCCACCGCATGACATAAAAAAAATGTCATGTAGCTGTCAATGTGCCATTTTTTGTTTAATTTTAGACATAAGTTAACATTTGGAGTAAATTGAAAAAAACTTGAAGCATGAAGAGTTAAGAAGAAAAAAAATTTAAGGACCAAAGTAAAAAATGCTCAAATATAAAAGGGCCAAAGTGTAATTTACCTTTTATTTTATGATGATTTATAATTATAAAATTATTATTATCTCATTATGTGTTTTTTATATATAAGAATCCTGTATGTATAAATGTCTTTGTATATATATTTATTTATTTCCTTTGTGAAATGACATTGGCGAAAGGAGGAGTTCATGGAGAATGAAGTATGAACGACAGGAGAAGTTATTTGGTAATCCTAGAATAGTGCCATGTGGTGTCTCATTTGTGTTGTGATTGGGAGAGAAAAAGTGATTTATAATTTTGTATTGAGTAATGAGAGGGAGATTTCATAATCTGGCTTTGGGCCGTGGTAATGACCAGGCTAAAGTTAGTACGAGCATGTTTGGGCCGAGCTGGTTCAGGCCAATCCAGGGGCAGTACGCTCGGTTAAAGCCCATTTCAGATTTGGCCGGGATAATTTCTCTGGGAGCCCGGTTCGCGTGGTTGATCGTTGAGATCAACAGGTAAGATCCTCTGCTAACCGACCCAAATGAGCAAGAGCTCGGTCATAACGAAGGGCCGATAAGCTCGGTCATAATGGAGCTTGGCTCGGAGTATTGCTTGTCTCAGAAGTAGTACGATCGTAGGAAGATAGGGTAGCACCGCCAGGCTGTCCGTTCGCGCCAACGATGTTTAGCAATTTGGTTAGGTGATGTTTAGTTGTATTTGCACTGACACGTGGGAAAGTGAGACAGGAGAA